GCAGCAAACGATCTCATGGAGGAAAGGGTCAATACCCATTTCTCCGCTTTGAACGACCTCGTGAAGCTGACGACACGTGCCGACGTTGGGAACATCGTCCTCATCATGCCATGGTACGGCAGGGGGTATGGGTTGCACCCCGATTTTGACCGTCAAATGATTCGCGAAGCTGAGGCTTTGAGGAAACGTGGACTCTGCGTCCTCGATGCCACGTCGCTTATCAAGTGTACTACACGATACGACGGCCAGCACATGGAGAATTCGGAGCACAACCGTCTCCAGTGCATTCGCTTCTATTCCGAAGCTGGCGCTCTCGGCTATCATCTTTTTCGACTTCGGTCGTGCAAGCCATTGATTGAGATGGCTGAGATGAAGAAGCGCCGCGAGGAATCGCTGGCCAACCCTCAACCTGAAAACAACCCTCAATGGGAAGAGATGGAAGAAGTGTTGGTCTCCATGGACGTGGACGGTTGGGAAATCTATGTGAAGGAGACCCGACCCAAAGGGCAACGGCTTCCCAATGAAGTTGACCCCGCACGTGCACAAGTCGCACAGGCTCCTACGGTGCAGGATGATGCCACTGTGGCCTCATCAAACTGGCAGCTTTTGGAGTCCGTGGATGCTGCACTGCCGGGGGAACCCGAGCACTTTGAACCGCATGAGGTCAAAGAGCCGGAGATGGATGGTGAGCTCATCGACGCCATCCTCAAGCCCTTTTTGGATCGGTTGCCGGGTGTTTCCGACGAGCGTGACATTGACGAGCCGGATGCTGACGAGGAGATTGTCTTCAGAGAACCCATCGTCGGCGGCTCAGCATCAATGTTTAGCCAGCGGAAGCTGCGCTCCCATCTGATGAATAAGATCCATGCTGTGGACTTCAGATTGGATGGTTCTGGCGTAGTGAACATCTTGGACACCGACGTCACGCGTGACCCTGCCAAGCTTGAACTTCGGCAGGAATCCATGCAGCAGACCGAAGAGGGTGCAGTCATCATTCGTCGCTTTGACTTGACGGATGAGGAGAAGCATCGTCAGATGGAACGGGAGATCTTTGAGGAGCCCAAGACCGCCGAGGAGAAACTTCGCGCGGGTGACCCTGCTGCCACTGTCCAGATCATGTCGAAGGCCAAGTCGAAGGCGGCTTCCTCATCCGAAGCGGCATCATCTTCGAGCGGCATCGCACAGGTGATCGGGGACACTGTCAGCCAATTCATCAAACCAAAGATGAGGGATCAGGCTACCATGATTCAACCCAAGCCTGCTCCGCGGCTCCCAAAGGTTTCAACGGCGACGGGAACGTCTCCCATGGCGTCCCCAAAGCCCAGTCCGCCACCGACTCCGAAGAGTGCAACTGGATCCCCCAAGCCGGAACCACCTGCACTCCCAGCGGAAGCTGCGGACCATCCAATGCCCAAAGCTTTGCCTTTTAAGGCACCGCCTGCAACGTTGACAACAACTTCACCGAGGGCACCTCCGCAGAAGTCATCGGCGCCTGCAGCTACGTCTTCGTCGGAGCCTGCCCCGAAGATGGCCAAGAAGGAGCCGCCTATGGCAAGTGCTCCTCCCCCGGGAACGGGTGGACCTCAGCCTCCGGCTGAACCGCCCTTGCGACCACATGGATATCCCAAGTGGTACTTTTTCTCCCCGGGAACGGGCGAGCGCAGGGAATTCACCGTTCGGTGTACAGACCTGCCAGGCCTGAGGGACCTTGGAAGACTCAGTCATGATGATTTCAAATTTTCAAAGAGGGTGACCGGGCTGCTCCGTGGATATGATCACAAATTCCTCGAGGCGCATCATCGCCATATTCCTCCTGAATTTGATGAGGAGCTGTACTTGAACTTTGAGTCCATGTACACGTACCTCCGAAAGCGGCATCGTGCTCAGCTTTCGCGACAGGACCTGTACCTGATTCTTCGAACTCAGGACCGGTTCATGTGCCGCATTCAGTCTGGAATTGTCGGGGAACTGACAACCATGGACATGCCCTACCGCATCACCCACGTGAAGGCCTGCCAAGGCCATGACCAGTCGCTCATTGACAAGGTGGGAACGGCTCCATTGGTCAAGCAAATCATCTCGCTTGACTACCAGTTCACGGTCGAGGATTTGAAGAAGGGATTCTACCCCAGGGTTCCCATTTATCCTCACCTGGCGGAAGCCGAGGTCTCAGAAGAGTTTAAGGTTATTTACCATTACACTTCATGGGACTCCCTCCAGCAGATCATTTGCACGGGGATTTTTCCAGGGGCCACTTCATGCAAGGGTCATGCGTATATGACCCGCCATGCGCCTTGGGAAATCGAAGGCAAGGATCCTGGCGTCAGGACGAACAGACCGCTGTGCATCGCGATCGACACCGATTGTGCTCTGCACTATGGTCTTCGCCTGGTGGAAACCTTGGCCGGTGCACTCATCACTGAGGACTGGGTGCCCAATCATTGCCTCATCTACGCATTCGATTGCGAGAAGTCGCAATACCTTTGGGCGAACCATGGCTACAACGGGGTGAAGAAGTACCTTCGGCAGAAGGCCTCCGAGAACGCTCTCACTTGGCAGGAGAACGAGGCTCGGAAGGGCACTCCCAACTATGACGAACTTGAGAGGTACGAGATTTCGGACCTGGAGGTGTTGAAGAACATGTTCGTGAATGAGTACGATCAGTGGAAGGATGTCATCACTCTGCGACGTCCGCTCATTTACAAGGAAGTTCCGACACCATACCCTGTCGTCGATGAGTTGCTGCCCAAGTTCAAGCAAAGGCCGCTCAACTTCACCAATCTCCTCTGTGTGGCACGCAAGCCGACGGCAACAGCTGCTGGCTTCGACATCGCCCCTGACAACGCGCGGGAACGCCGTTCTGATCGCTTCGATCAGGAGGCATTTGACCCATCCGCGGAGGGGAACCTCACGCGCTGGCGGTATGTATCAATGCTGGCAATGCCGGAGTTGACATGCCCCCGGTGCAGGAAGATTTTTCCTGAGGGGATGTTGGTTTGCCTTGCATGCGGCTTGTCGCTGGCGACAATGTCCGACATGCGCCGTGCGTGTCAGGTGTTCCGCCTGGAAGAGTTGGCCGAGAAGCTGGGCTTCGAGCTGACGTTGGATCTTCTGGGTGACGACGATGTAGCAGGCACCACTCAAGGTGCCAAGCAGATCAGATCTGCTGCGGCAGTCCTCAAAAATCACGCCCGCTCATACATGAAGCAGGCGAGAAAAGCTGGACTGACTTTGCTACAGCGTCTGGGAACGGACGCCCATTACGCCTTTAATTGTGCGGTCCAAGACCTTACACCTCGGTGTATGCATTGGATTACAGTTCTGGGCAATGTGGTGCTTCCCTCCATCAAGCGCACGCGAGAGGAGATCCGAACTGGAAAGATTCGGCAGTACAAAGCGCGTATGTGCATGGTCGCATACGAAGAGGAACAGATGAAGACGATCATTGTGGATGATCATGTCCTCATCTGGTACAAGAACCGCTTTTACAGAGCCAACCAGTTTGCGGCCGCCTATGCCTTGATCCCGGTGGCCGAGCGTTTTGAGGTCTTGAGCGTCGCCAACACGACGTTCCAATCCCTTGCGTTGTCCAAGCAGGATGTGTATGCCGACATTCTCAGCTATGTCGAGGACATCTTGCGCCCCCTCACGGAGGCAAAGGACACGGAAGGCGGAAGCCGACCCCTACCTGCAACGAGGCAGCAGAACCCGGATGTCACCAGGTCCTCGCGTCCTGGCTATGGTTCTCATCAGGGGCCCACTCATGGCTACAGTCAGCAGGAATGGAATGACTACTACAATCAGTGGAATGACCAGGAGTGGGAAGATTGGCGCCGTCGAAATCAAGGCCACCAATACAGGGATCGACGTTGGTCGGGCTATCGCTGAGGCACCGCGGAGGGGAACCTCTCGCCTGGTGGATTTATCTTCATCTGAGGCGGGGTAGTTTTCTCTCAATGTGAGGTGTCGCACAGCGGAAGCTGTTGCCTTTTCGGATCTAATTCGGTTAGGCGACTAGCTTCATTTTGCACGCGTGGGTGAGCGATTCCACGATTATTTCCAACACAAGTGTGCTAAGTCGGAATTTTTTGCCAACTCAGTCAAGTTCACAAAAGTTTCATTAACGCTTTGAACGCATATAATTTGAAGCAGGCATTTGGCACTCATCTTATTCTTGCCATGATTCCTTCTTGCATAGCACACGGCTGGTAGTTGCATGAACCGCAGAGCGGAAGCTCTTGCCTTGCGAAGATAAGGCAGCTTTGAAGCATTTCTGAAAGCTTCCCTGCGGGTTCACATCAAAACCGAATTCGGCATTTTGCTTTAATTCGTATTGTTTGCTTCGGCATGCTCCCGGGCGTCCACAAGAACTTTTGATGCCGCGTGGAAACGCTGGCCTTTGTAATGGGCCACACTTCAACACGTTTGCATGTTCGACCACAAGCCCGGTAGAGCCCAAAATGAAACTGAATGCATTCGGCCGAATTGACTTGCACTGCATCCGTCTTTCAATGTACTTGGAGTCCGATTGAATGGATTGCATTCGCAGTTGCACTTGTTCGTCAATCTTTGCACACCTGAGGTGACGATGGAAGTACTACGAAAGGTTAGGCCGTGCTGCGGAGGGTTTGGTCTCTGGGTTTGTTGTTTTGTTAATAATGGCATCCCTTAACTCCGTAGTGCATCCCTTTAATTTGCAGCTTCACTTCCTGTGCGGTAATTACACTGCACGGGGGGTGTTGATGCACAGTAGTACCGTATGTACATAACATTCTCACCTCATATACTTCGTGCATATGGCTCAAGAAATAGTGCGTATATCTTTGGGTGGGATTTGTGGTACGTTGTGGTTTGTACCCTGTTTCTACAAAAAAACCCATCCATCTTTCGGTTTGATTTGATTTTCCCAGTAAAGATGTCTTTTTTGAAGTGCCAGGTGATCCTCTATGCAGATGCAATGTGCTGCCACTTGTTCCCAGCGATTTTTCTAGTCAACTGAGGCAGCAACAGCCCTGCGCAGGTCACGCCGCAGAGTTGCTGGCTGGTGATTTCAGAGCATTCTTTTGCTACTCCTTCTCCCTATACTATTCATATGTATTAATTTTCCCCCTGAACACCTGATATATTGATATTTTTTGAAGTGCTTGGGGGGTTGGTGGTGGACATTGATATTCGAGGTGGATGGAATTTCTTCCACTCCAGTGACTGGTGTTGGCTACCTGTGAGGATGTGTTTGGCCTTACATTTTTAAAGGAAGCTATTAGGGACTGTGAGCCATATTGGTGATTGGGCAAAGGCTCCCTTGGCTGGGTAGATTCTTGCGAAGAGACACAACCTTTCGATTGAACATAGATGATATTTGAACAACAGTTTTGGTAGAACTTTGAAACTAAACATAAAACCCTAAGAACCTCAACAAATTCTAAGCTCCACCAGGTCTAGATGATATTTCGTACCAGCAGGTGGGCGATGTTGTCTTGTTGGCGCAATGGTTCCCAAGATTGCACCGGACTATGGAAACATCCCCCACCTCCCGTATACAACAAGAACATTCAACCCGAACAGCAAACGGATCAATCATGTTCATATCTTTTACATTCTTTTACCTTTTCGGACTACAAACATGTCAAAAAAAGGAGTGACCCATAGTTACCCCCCAAAAAGATCGTAAAGTAAACTCCTATTTCCGTCATGTTAAATGTTTTTCCGGCTTCCCCAAATTCTCCAAAGTCTCGAGGTTTCCTGAGCTTCTTCTACTACGCCGCGCTGGTGCGCATCGGCACGCGGGAGTATGGCAAGGCCATCCAGCTTCTGCTGGTGGCCTTAACCTGCCCTGCCAGCTGTTTGAGTGCCATCCAGGTCCAGGGGGTGTGGTAAAGTGCCACGGACTAGCCATCACTTTCCCGTCATCATGATATACATGTGTGTATATATATATATTTATAGATATTATTTGGACGATTAAACGTGTTCACAACATGTTTTTTTGTTTTCCCGTTGTTTTTGGATGAGAACGCCTGTGAAAACCAGAACGTTGATGATCTCATTGTGGTTGCCAACCCACCTCCTGCAGAGATCTGTCAGCAGATCCCAGGCCGATGCGTACAAGAAGTACGTGTTGCTGTGCCTGAAGGTGCACGGTGATGTGAAGCCACTGCCCGTTTACACCTCCCATATTTTGCAGAGATATTCCAAGAGCAGCAGCACCTGGGCTGAAGCTTTTCATGGGTTGACCATCCCCGATATTCGTGGGGAAGTCACATCAATGGTATCCCGATGACTCACCACTTCCCTAAGTTTCTTCATGGTGAACTCCGCCATGTTCAATTGCTAGTTGGTTCTACCTGTCTTCCCTATTTTTCATGGTGAAATCAGTGAAGTGCACCTTTGAAATTCCATAAAACCCATATAAAATCCATATAAATCCATCATTTTCCATGGCCAGTGCGACTCCAAGGCTACGTCTTGGAGATTGCAGAGGCCTTCAAATCCGCCGACGCGGCGGAGCTCCAGCGCATCCTGGAGGAGAAGCAGCCGGCCATTGAGGCGGATGCCAACATGGGCCTAGCCAAGCAGGTGGGGAATCCAATCCAGGGCCGGAAATCGGGAAATCCAGGCACTCAACGGGCATACCCTCTGGTAATTTAACATAGCTGCTATGACATAGCTATTGAAAATGGCCATTTATAGTGGATTTACCCATTAAAACTGGTGATTTTCCATAGTTATGTTAGTTTACCAGAGGGTAATAATCGTAATATGGTGTAATATGGTACAATTCTGCTGGCAACCCCAAGAAAGCTTATCATTTGGGGAAGGGTTTATGCGACAAGGTGATGACTTGAGGATGATTTCTCGGGTTTGCCACATTGATGGGGATGAATCAATGAAAACTTGGGATTTTGGGGGGTTTAACATGGTTTAACCAACTTTAACTGACGGAAAACATGGAATTCCCGCACTAAATGGAGGTTTCGTAGGGAAAATCCAGCTGAGTCCAAGAGCTGGTGGATTTTCCAGCCATGGTTGGACGGTTGGATACCCACCAAACAGCAATGTTGAAATAGGGATTCGATGATAAAATTCGATTGAATTATCATTTTAAAAGACTTAATTATATGCATTGCTACGCCCATATCCTATGCTATTCATTTTTTGTGATCTTGATTCAGGGTGAACAAAAATACATCACGAATAGAAATGGGATAGGCAAGAGCAGAGAGAAGATGTCTATTTTTGAACTTTGATCCAGAGCGTACGTCCGCACCACGAACTTCTGAAGACACAGACTCTACAGGAAAATAATGGATGGAGACAGGTCTTTAAACGATTAGTGCCATTCAGACTGGGTCACTGTACGTAGAATGAAGTCTGTTTAGTAAGTACAGATGCATACAGATATCCTGCTTGACTATTGTGACCACGGCCTGTGACGTTCACTGCAGTCCATGTACTTCATGGAATTTGACCACCAAATTGTTCTGCAAGGTCAACTGCAAGGTTGGCTCCTCCAATTTGATCCCCGCTAGATCAAGTTGGTTTACAACTAGGCCAGCACTCGGGTTTTGTGTTGCATATATTGGATATGTCATGATACTGTAATTCATGATCCACAGTAATATCTTATCTTAGTCGGCTGGTCTACTAAACAGTAACTCAACAACCTGAAAGAACTATGATATCCTGTGGATATCCCGATATTTTTTTTAAAACTTGGTCTCCCATCATCATCATCATGGCCATGGCCAGCCATCTCCATAGGTCTTGAGCTCCATGCAGCGGCACAAGATCCTGACCCTGACCCAGACCTACCTGACGCTGTCGCTGGCCGAGATTTGCGCTGAGGCAGGCCTGGCAGGCACTACTGAGGCGGAGGAGATGCTGTTCGACATGATCTCGGAGGGGGAGATCAAGGTGGGGGAGATGTGCGGTAAGTGGGTGGGAAATGCTACAGCGGAGGTTTGTTTTGGTTTGAAAATCAGGTTGGAGGTGACATCAATTCGATGATAACGTCCTGTTCTAGCAAAGTCTTTCTCAGGGAGAAGAGCGGCAAATTTCAATCGGAGGGATCAAACTTTTCAAGGGAACTGCCTTCTGAAAGAGTTCATGTTTGCTTTTTGGGTGGTTTCATCTCGTTCACGCCACAATTCTCTAGGGATTTGTCAATGTGGAAGGGCAAACTACCTTTCATCCAAGGCCAAGATTGATCAGAAGACTGGCAATGTGTCCTTCGAGGATGCCGATGAGAACTTGGATGTAGACACTTGGAAGCACCATGGTGGTTACCACGATGATCCGCCCCATGGCAATTTAAAATGCCACCATATAATACCGCATATATTTTGCAGTTGCATATTCTGCAAATGGTGGGGTTTCATTGACAGTTTACGTTTCGAAAATTGAATTACAGTGGGGATAAATGGGTGTGGACTGGCTTAAAGGTAGCAAGGTAGGACTTTATAACCTTATACAATGAGGCGACAAAAACACATTGAATATAGAAACAGCTATAATACGCATGGAACCCCCAAAAGGATAGGTTTGGAAGATGCCTTTGCTAAAGCAAAGGCTCTTATGCTAGGTCGAAGGTAAGCATTCAGTTTGGGAATCTGCAGGCTAATAACTTAATATTTGTAAACCTGAAATCAACCATCCTCAACAGCCTAAAGGATGCCTTGGATTCGTTTTGAAGTTTGAAGGTTGATTTTTGCCACGGGTGCGCTGGCAAGAATCCATTGGGAGTGTGGTCAGCTGCACCAGATTTGCATCGTTAGATCCGTTCAAAGCGCTCACTGATAACGTGGACGACCTAGCCAACTAGGAATGGCATTGAGATGGTGGAAGGTGAGTCCGAGGAGAAAAACAATGGATCCATCAACGATCTTGGTCAAGTGCCGTTTCAGATGTTTCAGGTACCAGGTACGTAGGTAGGTTAGATCACATCAAATCCCCAGACTCCAAAAACATTCTCAGGGATTCTGGCTCTTACCAGGGCTACAGATGCTACAGCCTTTTGACTCCCATACCCTTTAGGTGTTAGGCTGGACGGTCCCCAAACCCGAGTTGTCCTTACATTACATATTTGCTTTTCGCTGGACTTCGGGGTCAAGAACCATCCAAGCACGTCATTGGTTGTCTTACACCTAGTCAATCCATGTAACATTTTGAGTTTGTTTTTCCATGTTTTTCCCATATTCTGATGACATCTTCATGCTGCTCCCAAGTTGGAGCCTTGTGCCCTCCGGTGATCGCCTCCAGAACTCTGTGAGGTGATGATGCAGAAGCTTGAAGACAAGCTGTCAAAGATCATGGAAATCTCCCAGCGAATCAGCTGGTTCGAGCAAGAGGTGGCATGGTGTCGCCGCATGGCTGTTGGATGCTTTTAAAAATTCCATGATCATTGGAAAGAACTCTGCTATTGATGCGGGTCATATCTATTTTTTATGGGCACAAAATGGGTAGTAATGATCCCACTTCTTGCATTATGCATTCATACGGATATCCATAATTACATATGGTTACATATTATTACATATTGTTTCATATAATAACCACCCACCCACCTTGACTTGACTTTGTTTTTGGAAGGTGGAAAGTCAATGGCAACAGCCAGGGTCCCCACACCTTTCGTCACCCGCGCCAGGTGGTCACCAGCGAATCTTACGTTCGCAAGACCAGCCTCCTGGACATGTCTGCTGAGAGGCAGGTTGGGGCGATGAGCTATGACGTCATGGACATGTGACTTGGCCAACTTGGCCAACTTGGCCAACTTGGCCAACTGGACATAGTGGATATGGATATAACTTGGGATATATATTATATATTATGTATTATATATATTATATATATATATATCAAGTGAGTTGATCTTGGCAGATGCTTGAAGTTGATCCGCTGCTTACCTTGACGTTTCCCTATTTTTAGCATGTTTGACGGACATGCCTTACTTAAATGAATCTTTGAATGTGTTTCATTGACATTTGGGGTAGTACATCTTCTTGAGGGTTAGGATTTGCCCACTTCGTTGTGCATCAGCCGGCGACGGCCATTCGTATTGCGGGAGTGGGGGATTTGGGGTGGTCCAATGCCTCTCAAAGTGGGAACGAATATCGCCCAGCCTCAAAATCGGTGGACACAGAAAGACAGAAAGATGATGAAAGATGCACATACCTCCATATCACCTCCAGCCAATCCAAAATGTGATGACACATGGTGATTTTCGATGGGGTCCAGGGAAAGCGTTTGCAAATTGTCGATTTTCCGCCCGTTGGACCGTTGGATCCCTCCCAGCCCCAGCCGCTCAGGTGAAACAGCTCACAATGTACAAACTCCCCATGTCGAACAGATCGAGTCAAAGGAGTCGTGTTGCTCCAGAGATCTCCAGAGGAAAAGGGTGGCAATGGCAGCTGCGATGTGATGAAAACTGGGGAAAGCGCAGGTGTTCCCCATAAACTAGGCCATCTGGGCCCAATCTTGGTATGTTGAAGCCGAAGGGCCGAAGGGTTCCATCAGATCTTTGGGCACCCAACGGCTTGACTTGACTTTACTGCACATTCAAAGAACAAATTTACAGAAGAGACAGCCATCGGCTTATCCCGCTACCTTTGTGCAATGCTGCACTTCTCACCCAATGACCAGCATAGATGGCATAGCTTTCGAGGGGAAGCCACCAACCACTCCAAGGCGTTGAACCTTGAGAATTGCCAGGGGCCAAGACCTGACCTACGTGATCGTACTTGGATGGATTTTCCGTAGGTTGGCCACATAGCAGCTATAGGGAGAGGGATGAGAATATGCCATGACCCTCTGGGTGATACTGGATTGCAACCACGGCAATACCCAAATCGCGATGAGTTTGAGGCGAGTGATTGCAAAGAATGATCAAATCCAAAGTTGACCAACGTTGGAGTGTTTTCTGCAGGCAAAATATGGAACCCCCACGAAAATGGGATCGGAAAATGTAGCTTTGGGGTCACCAGAAATGATGATCAACCTCGGTGCGATCCTCAGCTCATCCCTGAGCTCCCGGCCTTCACCGTTGGCTGCACTGAGTTCCGAACTGCTTTCACACGCCGAAGGGGCAGGAACTTTTGAACCGGCTTCCCCGCAAGGTGGGAACGGCAGGGGGCAGGGGGCCACCAGGAGATGGAGATTGAACCAGCAAAAAGGGTGGAACTGGCAACACTGGGGATAATCAGCAAAATGGGGGTTGAAGCACTGCTTGGGATTGAACCACATGCTTTGGAGGTGTCCTCTTTGTCCTCTTTTTGCTTACTGATCTTAAGCTGGCGCCATGAAATCTGCCGAATAATGCCTGGTATGAAGACGTCCAAGCCGGACCCCGTCCGAGACCTGCCAGAATGAGACCCTTCACCCATCGCCCAGGCGAAGTATGTGAGCTGCCCGCCAGGTCGGAGTCTTTGGAGACTTGGTGTGTGGTTTCTTACCTTGGCCGCAGTCCCCAACCAGATGCAACAACATTTTTGAATATTTCAGGGCCACTATGCCAGAAATGCTGGCAGGCAGCGTGGAGTTCTTGGCACAAGAGATGCCAGACGACATTCCCAACGAGGACATGGGGGTTCACTGAGCATGTTGAGGTTTTGGTTTGGGAAATGGTCTGGCCATGCCTGGCCCACTTGTTGTCCATGCCGTCCATATCTTTTCATGGTCATGCAGATGATTGCAGATGGAAGATGTGATGGTTGGTTGTTGTCGGTCATCCATTTTTGTCGGTTGGAAACATCTAGGAAATTGAAGTGCCTTGACCACAACAGTGCCCAGCCACGTCTATGGTGGAAGACATTAATTTTGCAACTGCAGTATTCCTGGATCATGTGTTCTGGTAGATTCGGCTTCATACAATTATCGATCCAATAGTGCAAACAGATGGGGGTAAATTCAGATTTACAATGGCAAGTGATCTAGCTATCGGCGAAGTAGACTTGAGACTGAAACCCATCCCATAGAGTAGTCTGAAGCAACTTGCCAATGATTCACTAGCCATTTCACCTTATCTCTCTTGAAGCAATGCTCACGGGCTTCGTCTGCCAACTTCACTACCAAGGTGGTGGCTCTTTGCTTTGCACAACTTCCGAAGATTCGTGGCAGGTGCCGTTTGCTCGCGCCCCGCCAGAGGTGCGGGTTGGCCACAGCGTGACGTTTTCACTGGCCGAAGGGGCAAACCTGGCTGTGAATCTGGATGTGGTCCAGGACAAAGCCGCAACATCTTCAGCGCCTGCATCCCCCATATCAAAACAATCCTGCAGGAAGCTCCGAAGAAGTATCACCAGATTTTATAATGCAGATTTGGAAGAAAGACTTCAGATGATTGAAGCTGCGGAACATTTGCTAGGTGACCTGCTGAATGCCGTTGAGTTGGATGGTGATGCCATCTGCAAGTTGCTGTGTCGCTGCGGATGGCTCCATCCTCCAGGCTCCAGAGCCGGGTGAGGCGATTCATCATAGCGGCTTTGAGTTCGGATTTGAGCGACGTCACAACCTGAAGAGGGCAGTTGAAACAGCTCTGCCATATCTACTAATATCTGCTATACATTCTTCAACTTCAGGGGAAGGAAGAATTCTTCGCTGGGAATGGTACATCGCTTGCGTTGAGACAATGGCGGCAGCTGTGCGAGTTGCTGGTCACAGATGGCGCACAGCACCCGAGGAAACGGAAGGCATCACGTTTGGCACCTGAAGGTCTCAAAGACAAGGCCGCTAGAAGATTGCCTAAGGATAGATCCGTCGCAATTGAGGGCGTGTTTCGTCCCAACGAACGCATCAGGAGTTTACCGGCGGTGTTTCAGGCCCCTGACCAAGTTGTTCTATTGAAATGCTCTGAGTGCGCGGAGAGTATGAACTCGACTTGGTTTTGGAAGCATCCTGGGAATGGAGGAATGATGGTCACACAACCTGCGGGAACACGCTGGGAAAGAGATGTCCTTGGCTTTCTTTGGATGGCACGAACACCGTCTTGGATAACTTTAATCAGTTTGACTTTTGCGCTCACAAGCGCAGAAGGTCCTGGTGTATTGAGTGCGGTGGCCATGGTCTTTGCCCTCACTATCGGCAACGGTCCAGGTGTTCAGAGTGCAAGCCCTTCTCGCCCAGAAGAAAAATGCACCGAAACTGTAGCAAAACCAGCCGTCTCTACTCCCAGAAGTGGATGAAGGAACAAAAAAAACTAGGAAACCTTCATTTTCCACTGGGTTTCCTAAATAAAATGACCTTCAATGACCCCGGCTTGCCGGCGAGAGTGCAGGATCCACGTGGTGATGGCTCCCCGCTGTTGAACGCTGTGGAGAAGGAGCACTTCAAAGGTGTGGACGATGAAATGTCGATCGATTTGTTGGAGAACTGGTGGTGTATTATTCGCTGGTTACCCTTTCAGAATCAAACTTAGCAATGGGACACCTACAGGTGGAGGTTTTCATGGGAAAACCATGTATAACTGTATAAATACCACTGCCATATCTCTATAAATGGTGGGTTTTCCATTGCCATGTTGATTACTGGAGGGTTTTTAACAAAGAAACGACCAAGGCCGGCAGGGAAAACACCTGGAGGGATCCACCTCTTGCCGCTCGTGAGCATAGCCATAGCTAGGCTCCGATTTCTTCGACCCTGACGTCGTCCTGGACCGATTCCTAAAGGCCGGTGCCATTTATTTTGGGTCCACAAATCCATATCAAATGTGTTGCATGTTGCTTGTTTGGGGCTTTGCATGTCATGTCGCAGTTTGGATGTCTAAATGATTGTAAATGTGTAACTACAAAGCTTCTGTACTTGTGAGTATGGCATCATCGCGATTCGGTTGTCTATACCTTGAAACCAAGCTTTGAATGGAATGCTCGCGGATTTTATGAGAGATGGATGGCTTCAATTATGCCCCACCTACAGATAGCTCCATGACAAGCCGATCAAGAAATACCCTGTACGACGATGCTTCTAGTGCTACAGCTGGTGATTTGAGATGTTCATTTGACTCCCCAGCACTTTCAGGAAGTCAAGCGAGCCGTGGACATTCGTAAGATCCGCTGGGCACCCCAGGGAGAACTTGGGTTAAGGACAGCAACATCCGCTACTGTTGGAGATAGCCTGACATAGCTGCCCAAAACGAAAGCAGTATTTTCATGTATTTTCCTGGTGAGAGGGGGGTCGCACCACATGATTGCCTTATTTTCCTGTAGCCTTCGCACAAAATTGCGGATGCCGCTCAACCAAGCGGCTGGCCCCAGGCTACGACAAGAGGAAAGAGGAAGAGAAGCAAGCAGCCTTGGAGAAGGATTCAGCAGGGACCCCAGCCGCTAGGGCCAATGTGGCCATTGAAAGCATGAACTGATTTCTAGTTGCTTACCCCCAACATCCAACCAAACAAATGATCGTTGAAGTAATTAAATCATGTTAAATTGAGCAGCATCGAGCTTTCCCTGCATTTTGCGCAACGGAACCTGGAGTCTCGAACACCAGCGTCCAACTGATTAGGAGCCGGCCGAACCAGAAAAGCCTTTGGTCACAGTGCGACGCCCCAGCTGTGAAGCTGTGCGGTTTAAAAGCCACAATCGTGGTGCTTTTTCTCGGGAGTGTTTTTTCGACGTTGTATTGGATGAAATCAAAGATGGAACTCCGCACAATGTGACCCCCTTTAAAAAATTGGATCACATTGCGCTTTACCTCGCTTCATATGCCAAAAATAATCATCCTGTCGGTGGCATAGTGGCAAATGGTCGATTCTACACAGGCAATGTGCTATTCCCTCAAATATCCGATGCCTGCCAGTCAACATTTTTACTCCGGGTATTCATTTTGGTATATTTTGGTGGTTCTTGGAGAATCCAATGATCCTTTGAGGAAGGCACTGACAATCCATTTCGATCCATTTCGATTTGGAAATTAAATGGTTAACTCTCAGGTGGCAATGGGAAATTCCCTCTAAATCAAAGCTGCCAGGGGGTTTTCATGGGTTTCCGTTGCCAGTGTGATTACCAGGGGTAACCACTAGAACATGAAATCCCATCGAGATCCATTAAGTTACTATTATATAAAGCATATTAAACCATCTTAAACCCAACAAATCACCCGAGGAGTGGCACACCGCCGGTGCAGAGATGCCGGCAGGCGCGAAGTTACATGCATAATATGCACATGAGATTTAAAAGACACACACACACACTTATACACACACATATGTATGTATATATATAATTATATATAATACACATATTTATTGTCGATATAGCACATAATCTCTCCAGATTCTGGCAGCTTTCGGTCTTGGGGATGCTTTACACATCCCCTCGCATATGATATATCATAATATCATAACAATACACATGTCTTTAAACTTTAAACAGTTTTATACGCGTCTAATTCTGTAAATGTGTAATTCCTCGAGTTTGGCTTCTCCTCACATCTCGCCGCGGAGCCATCACTGACACTGCGAGGCATCCTGGATACTGACGCAGCCTCTTGGATGTAATCCATGGTGGTGAAATCCTCTGTGGATGTCATGGGAACATCCACAAATGGAGGATTTTGCATTGAGGCTACCATGGAACTTGTCACATCAATTTATTTGGAAAGGAACAGTGCTTTTGGGTGGACAAGACTCAAGTTCAGTGCCGGGACGGCAAAGTTGACCTGCTTTTACATATTGCTTGATGTCCCAAAGATTGACCCGACCAGTCACACCCCTGAACCCACTCAAAATCATTCACAACCGTTATTTCCAAAGGGACAGCGGCTTTTAAGTCATTTTTTTCATGGATGGCTCCCCACCGACTCTCGTCACACACCCACTCCGATCTCTTCCACTAAGGACTGGGCCGTTCCAGCTGCGGCAGCCCCAGTGCCTCGTCAACGTCTTTTTTTGGTTGGTTCCATTGTTTGATGATTATATAAGTAAATATCCCATTAATACATGAAGATTTCAAGATCAGTCCCATTCATATTCCATGGTTTGATGATTCATGATGATTCTATTTCTCGGTCTGGGCTGCTTTTTTTTGCACTTTGGCGTTTCTTGGCCTTCTTTGTTGTTTCACTTATGCTTTGGACGGCAAAAAGCCGGAGACTCTGCTTGAAGATGCCGAATCTACCCATAGGGCTTTTCTGGTTTCTTGCAGCAGCTTTTTTTCTACGCAGCTTCAAACGAAAACCAAGAACAACAAGAACTCTAAGACAGACGAACGTCAACATCAAAATACAACAACAAGAGCAGGAATCTTAGCGCAAAGTGCTGCACACACGTGCAAGTGCCATCGAGTACTTGTAGATTCAACCTAGAATTTGCTGCAAGCATCGTGCAAACAACAACGGACATATTGAAGGAAAAAAGTCAAACAGATGCCGAGAAAATAGCATGAGAACAAAATCAATAAAACAGGAAGAACGCAATGCCAAGACACCCCCAATGCCCCAACGCCACAAAATAATATTTTGAAATATTTTGAAGCAAGGCTCCTCAGCTGCAAAACCAGACATTGCTGCAAATGGCGTAAAACTGAGAGGTGAAAGCTCCAATACATTTGCAAATCACATGGAAATGAGAGACTCAAGCTCCAAATTGCTGCAAATAGCATATACTATGACAGATTCAGGCTCCAAAATGCTGCTTTGGTCTCTTTGGTTTCTTCCGTTCAGTGGCTGTAGTGCGGCTTCACTGTTTCTTCATTGATTCTACCCACTTATTTTCCATGGCCAGCTTGGCCGTCGACCAAGGAGTTAGATGTGCCAATCAAGACCGACGAAGGCTCCCAGAGCCAAGGGAAAACAGGTTTCAACTGTTGCACCAGTGGACATATTTGCATCATTTCAGAACATCACTTGGCTGGGATGCGAGCACATTTCGAAACATGCCGCAGTTTTTGCATGTGATAGGAGCAGACAGACTGCCACACTGCTTCGTCACTGGCAGGTGAGATTGCGGATGCAGAATTGGACCTCCCTGCAGAGCCAGTTCTGCCCGTACCAGCACCTAGGCATACAGAGTGAGACATCAGATATCTTCAGGTCTTGTTCCGATGAAGATGGTCCAGAAGTTTTAGAGAAAATGTTTGCCTTCCTGCGACCTTTCCGTGATAACTCACAATACTAAGCACTATCCTTTGAAGATCTTGACACATCAGCGATTGGCTGCATTTCATGTAATTATGGCCGAGGTTAATTTTTGATGTTCGGTGTCTGCAGAAAAAATGCTTATATGTACTCACAACTCAATAGCATATACACAAAATGGAGATAGATGCAAACGTGCGGGCCTGGACTATTATACCGACGGACTGAAAGTTAGAATGCCGGCGCGTTTTCCAAAAAATATCCATTGAAAGTTAGAGTGCCTCTGATTTTTTTTTTGATTTTTCGGGTTAGTATGCCGTGACCACATACCAAAATTCTACCTTCCAGTCCGTATTATGCTGGTAAAAATGTGGATAAACATGTTAAAAACTGTTTGATCAAATTTTCCCGTGAAAATGTTGGTTACACCTGATGCAAGGTTAGAATGCATTTGGAACAATCCTTCATAGAATGTACATAAACAATCACTTGATGTAAGGCAATGTAAGGTTAGAATGCATGTGGAACCTTCCTTTATATATAGAATTAACATAAACAATGACTTATATGTGAACATACCTCACCATTTGCATGATTGGTGATTAATGGATCAAATCCATTACAAAAGGTAGCCATCTATAACCATCATATTCATATAAAATAGTATTAATTAAATTGCCTTTTGAGGGGTATATGGACCCCTTTGGCAGATAGATTGGATGTATCCAAGTCACCTGTGTATATATATATACACATCTGACAAAATTCAGTGGGTTTCGACCAAGGAATGGAATTCAGACATACCAGTCAAGACCGAACAAGGTGCCCGTAGTGAAAAGCGGGTTCCGGTATTGACGTGTCAGACCAGTTTGCATCATTTTCAGACTGTCCTCAGACAAAGACCCTTTCGGATTGGTTCATGTTTCTTCATTTGCAGGTGAGATTGATGACGCAGAATTGGGCCTCCCTCCAGAGCCAGTTCTGCCCACACCGGTGCCTAGGCATACAGATTGAGAGATCAGATATCCTGCTATCCTCAGCTTTTGTTCGGCTCGTGAAATGTGAAGATGATTGAAGAGGTTTCAGAGAAAATGTTTGCCTTCCTGCCGCCTTGTTTCAAATTCATAGCATTGATAGCATCTGAAGTTTCAATCCTTGACCTATCAGCGGTTGCTGCATTTCATAGATCGGGGGGTTCTATTCGTTTGTGCGTCCAACATGATACATATAGATACCTGCTCACGATCACTGATGCTTTCTACCAGCTCTCAGCTTTTTCCCTCTCTCTCTCTCTATTCTGCATAGTCTATGTGCACAGACACTGGCATGTGCGTATAAATACGCAGAGAGAGAGAGAGAGAGAGAAAAGACACACACACACACGAACGCAGACGCATACATGTGCAATTGGACCGAAGATGCACAGACTTATGAAATCAAGCATGCGCACCCATGTATGCATAATGGCAGAATATATAACAATATATGTATATATATATATACGCATTTCGCGCTGCTATTCAAAATTTGTGGGCAAGCTATTCTACATTATTTGACTATACCAACTAATTGGAGGAACCGCAAGGGATCACAGACCTGGCCTCCAGCATTCTGGCCGGCGTGACAGCCAAGGACTGGAATTCAGACCCAGCCAAGACCACCCAAGGCCCCAGCAGACTGGCTTGATGGTCACTTAAGCATGCTGTCTTTGAATGTGAGACAGAAACAAGAGACCGTTCTCACGCGAAGTCTGCACAAAGTCTTGATGTTTCCTTTTGAATAGACATGAACAGACTCATCCTACAGGTGAGATTTCTGACATGGAGTTGAGCCTTCCTCCAGAGCCAATTCTGCCCGCACCAGCATCTCGGCGCAGATAGTGAGACACCGAGATAATTGGTCAAGGGCACGCTGGGATGGCCAGCATGGCCGTCGACCAAGGAATGGAATTCAGACGTACCAGTCAAGACCGACCAAGGTGCCCGCAGTGAAAAGCGGGTTCCGGTATTGACGTGTCAGACCAGTTTGCATCATTTTCAGACTGTCCTCAGACAAAGACCCTTTCGGATTGGTTCATGTTTCTTCATTTGCAGGTGAGATTGATGATGCAGAATTGGGCTTGCCTCCAGAGCCAATTCTGCCCACACCAGCGCCCCGACATACAGAGTGAGGCATCAGATATGGGGATTGGTCAAGACCTACATTACATTAAATACGAAATGTTGTGAAATATTAAATATGTGGTTGGACGAATATACCCCCTATTTTGGGTTTCAGCGGCCAGGGTTTGGATCCCTGGCCACCAAGGAGTGGAACCGAGATGTGCCAGTGAGGAAAGGCCGAGGCCGGAGCCTTGAGTTGCGATCCAGATGGGTGCCCAGCATCTCAGTCCATCATGCCCTGATGCCAGGTCTGCCCCAGGGTGGTGCTTTGATGAATTTGAGTTTGGATCTTGGTGGTCTTGGATGGACTTGGGGTGCCAAAGGGGGCCACAGACTCGGTAATCGGGGAGGGTCCATTTTTTGGCTGAATAAGAGGCATACAGTGATAACATCAAACGATACATACTGAATAAGCAGAGGCATAGACAAAACGAAGAAATGAACGCACTAAGAAATGAAGATACGCATATTACCAAAGGAACTTAAGTTCGAAAACATCCGAGTTACGGACGAATGTCCAGGGCCGGTCTTGTCATGTCCGCAGCATGTCAGCAACATTATGAGCAAGAGCAGTTCGCGTGTGGAAGCAGTAGAGAAGAGTAATAGATCCGAAACGCGTGAATTCAATTGAATTCACGGTTTTCGGCTCGTGGGGTCGCCGAAGCAGGGTCTCTGTTTCCGCGGGTTCGGGCCTCGATATGGGAACGTTGCCGACAAAAAGTGCACAGGACTGTGGCAAGAGCTCGATTTGCACTTCAAAATGTAAAAAAACTGTCATGTCCTTTTGGAAGATGAGGCCGGCAAAATGCTCACGAGACTGTAGCGAGAGCTCGATTTGTTATAAGAAAATTACATGTTTGGACAGACCCCATTGTCAGCACTGCTGCGCAAACATTGGTCGATTTGGTGCGACGCTCCTGCTATGAGGGTTTGCAACCGGCTGTGACAAAACGCAGTGGCACGGCTGCGCGCAGCAAAGCGCCAGTGATGCTGCGGGGATCCTGGCAAGCGGGATTGCAGCTAGAGGTTGCTAAACGCTGTGTGGAAGGTAGTTTTGGACCATAGTGCTAGTCTTGTGCTATGCGGGATTGCGGCTGGAGGTTGCTAAACGCATTGTAGCAGCTGCGTCGGCTGCGTGAAGAGAAGAATTGGGTTGCAGAAGCTACAAAAGAGGTACTGTAGCTGGGAGTCAGCTCAGACCAGAAGTAGCCCAGATAAGTGGTGTTCAAAGAAGACGTAAGTGACTGAAAGAAGAGGTGCCTCAGCGAAGAGGTTGCTCAGCAAAGAAGTAGCCAGTAGCTCGCCCAGCAATCATTCATCCATCCTTCCATTCATCCATCCATCCGTCCCTTATTCATTCATTGGTTCATGAATCAATGCTTCATTGGTTCACTATGTTCACTGGTTCGCTGATTCATTGATTCATGAGTTCATTCGTTCATTCAGTCATTTGGTTAATCGATTCGTGGACTCACTCACTAGTTCGCCCATGCATTGATTCATTGATTCACTGAATCACCGGATCACTGGGTCATTGATTCATTGAATCAGCGTTTCATTGATTCAGCGGTTCGTTCTGCTCATTGTGCCACTGAATCAGCGATTCAGTGCTTCATTGATTCATTTCATTGAATCATCCATTCATTGCTTCATTGATTCCTTGATTCGCTGATTCGTTGGTTCATTGATTCACTGATTCATCGGTTCGATTTCCTATAGGCCGTTGATTTCCTAAAACCCATTTCCGATTTTCGAACCTGCCGCTCCGGCGCGGGCCAGGCACTATCTTACACACACACACACACACGCACACATATAGTTTATATATCTATATTTTTTTATATGCACGGATAATCACACATACATATAAACCACACACACGCACACACACACACATGTGTAGGCACATATGTTGTGATGGCTTGCCACCATGGGAAACGGAAGGGCAGTTGGGAGACTGGTCACTACCTGCTTGTAGCTGACGGTTGCTGCTTGTTGCTTTCCGACTCAGGTGATGAGGACTTTGACATCCCCCCTCCACCTCAATTGCTGTCCCCACCAGCCGGGTGGCCAGGTGCTGGAGAACCTTGAAGGGTCTGTAGCTAGGAGGAGATGGAGCCTGAAAGAAAGGACATAGAATGGAATATTTGTTACACCAAGTTGGTGTCAATGGGGATCATGCTAGACTCTTGGAACCTAATTGTAGTTTGTAAGTTTTTTTTCCGGCTTACGTCCTCGCATGAGATGATTTTGTCGTGAATTTCTCGTTTCCGGGTTGGTGTCGCTGAGCACTTCTCAAAATTCTAAACGGTTCTGAAGGGTTGGGGAGACTGACCCTGCGCGAAACTGACACACGTGTCACATTGCGTGGAAAACCTTCGCCATCCACGTGATAATCATCGAAAGGCATTGGCGCATGTAAGTTAGTGACTGCTGAGGCCCGCCCCAAGACAGGCGCCACTTGGGGTTTGTGTTTCGGTTACGTCAGGATTCGACCCCAGGTGTCACGGTGTGATCAATTTTCGCTGCGAACCATGGATCTTCATCCCAAAACTTGATATGGCAGTGTTTGACAATGGACAATTACCACCCAAATAACAATTTTGACAGGGAACATGAGTTTGAGCATTTTTGAACCATCAAAATTGAGGGTTAATGACTCTATTCTATTTTCAGACAAACCCATATGAGAAAATCATAGGTTTTTACTCCCCAGATTGATGACGTTAGCAACAGGATCAGATGTGCCACGTTTGCCTCTGGTAGTGGCCCAAAGCTGCGCTCAGACCATGATGGACTGTGACAGTAGCTGGAAGGAATGATAGGAATTGGTAGTAAAACACACGTGTTTTTTTTTTTCTCCGCTTTGCAAAGCACGAGTTTTGTCTTGGAAATAGGTCCAAATCAATTTATATAAATCAAATTTTCAAGGGTTTGGAGTCCGGAGTTTTCCGTCAGCAACTGACAGCAACTGATGTACACATTTTTTTGCAAGCTAATTTCTTAGGACTCAGGAAGCAGCTCATTTTCCTGGGTAGAATCGCAGATGATGTCAGTGTTCCTGCTTAGGTGATGCAACATGCCCATGAACCACAAGCATTGCTTCCCGAAGTCCACGCTAATGTTCCACATGATCTTGATGTGGGGGACCCTGAGATCCTGAGGGTCAGACATGCACAGTTGCCCATAATATGTTTGGGATACCCACCAGTTTTAACCCATGCCCATTTGATAGCTGATAGCACTTGAAAGCCACGTCTAAAATGAACGGACTTCCAAGAATGGATGCAGATATGTATAGTTTGGTTTTCTTTTCACCCCGTCACTAAGCCAACCCCGAATCATAGTGGTAGCAGCCCAGGACCCACGCTACTGGACCTATGAACGCTATCAACGCGAAAAGTCGCAGGGTGCCCAAGGGAATTGCAATGACCTCACCCCATGGTAGGCCTCGCGTTGAAGATGAAATGCCCAGCTTTAGGGGGCGACGTTCATTTTTATTTTTTTTGCGACACTTTGTTTTGTTCTGCGTTATCAAAGATATGTACAATTCCTGCACAAGTCTGCTTCAGCTTCTTCGTGGCTGATATAAATCGATAGCCATTGTCTTCTCTAAGTTTCTCGCATGCAACAAGTACTTCAACATGGAATCTTTTGGCGTCATTTCAAGGATTCCAGAAGAGCCTGCTCTCAATACGGATTGGATGGTAGTGGCACAGCACTAGCCCATTCCAGCACTTTTTTGAGGTAAGTGGTGTGTCCAAGCATAGGAATTATGACATGTTCACTGAGATTGGCACAAAGAGGATGAAGCAGGTGTGGGTGAAACATGCGGAAATACATCAATCATAAATGCCCTCACTTTGGCAACCCTTGTTACCGAAAACACACCAGGAGAGGGTAGTTGTTCCCGACTTTCTTGGTATGTTCCCTTCAGCCAACTTCTATGACCTCCTGCGGCAGACTGAGGCGGGCAAGGATGTGCAGCTCTTGCTGCTCTTGTGAAACCTTTAAGGTGCCATAGCTGCCATGGGCAGAGTTGGGGTGTTGGCACCTCAATCTGACCCCAACAGAAACAAGGGTCCCCACGGTCGTGGAGGTGGACTTCCTATTTAAGACCTTCATTGATGAGATCGCGCTCTTCAAAATCCAAGTTTGTTCTGGGTACCCTTCCATTGAGGTTTCCACCTCGGCCCCCAATTTCCCAACGACCTGTGATTGATAAACAACAGCGCAACATAGCACAACCCTCTTTGAGGGTTCCTGGGGCGATCTTCCTTGCCTTGAAAAGCCGCAGGAGTCGCAGTGCAAGTTGGTTCTCTTAGCTCTTGTGGTGGGCCTAGTGGGAAAGTTTGATTGCTGGTTGACTAGCAGGATCTAGCGGGTATCCCTCTAAATTGCTGACCCACCGGTTTGCATACTGACATCCGGGTGCGGCCCCCCAACAGATGATTGAGGTGGGGGTATAACCTTGTGAGACCGTGAACAAACAAGTTGAAACCACCTGCAATCTTTGACATCTTCTGGCACCACCCAGCTGGAGCGGCACAGATTCAGCACTGAAGTCGCTCAACTGAAGTCATATCAGTCATATCCTGATTATCTTGGCTAGATGTGGACATACATACATATTTAGTAATATTTATGTATACACATATGATTCTATGATCATATGACCACATAATATCACATATGTACAGATGTCTGTCTTGGGTTTGGCCGCAGCCCCAGTGCTTCGCTATTCGGTTAGGGTCATCGCATCTGTTTCCCATTCTGACCGCCACCGAGTTGCTGGTTGCCCTGAGCGTCTTGGCCTTGGGGATGAGCGGCAGCTTGAAAGATCGGTTGATGATTGAGGCGCAGGGTGGGCCCGGGAATCGGAAGTAACGGGGGATACCGGGGATACCTCAACATGGCAACTTTCACTGGGACACTGATGATGAACCATTGAACCTACATGTGGGTGTGGCTCCTCAATGTGCACCAGGGGAAGGCCCCAACGTTTATTACAAAGCATGGCCCACATCTGTGGGTCGGAGGGTCTTGCAGTTTGACCACAGTCATTAAAACCGGGCATGGCCGCATGGCGAATTTGTGCGAGGGTGACATCCTGAAACTGGCAACAGAGATTCACGCCCTGCAAAAACGGCTGATTTCAATCTCAGAAGGCAGGAACAACCATTTCAATTTTGACAGGGCTTTAATATACTTTAATGCTCCTGGTGAAGCAATCTGCCTTTGGTTCCAAAGTCTGCAGACAGTTTTATTCTGCAATCCTGCGTCAACTTGGTCTCTTCAACCCTGCGGACTTGTGATCCACCTGGGGGCTCTACTTTGAGGATCCAACTGGCCCTAGAATTCATAGGTTTTCCCAATCAGACTGATTCGCTTCAGAGAAATTGGTGGGATTATGTCAGCCCTTATGAACAAAGCGCGGTTGATTCCCAGCAAAAAGTGATAAGCGGCAATCGAAATGCACTTTGCCAATTCAACCCACGGGTCAACACTCTTCCTGGGTGAACTATACGGAATTTTCCAGGAAAATGGCCAGGTACCCTCTGGTGACCTAATCTGTCCATGATTTTCCCATTAAACACGCCCAATTACTCCCAATTTATCAGGGATTTTCATGGATTTCCCCCTTGCCTTAGCATGTTTAAGTCAGGCCACTTATGCCCTGTCGGGTGTGTTTTTCTTCCTTGGTCTTCCCGGCGGAATTGAGGGGTCATCGAGGATCACATGGGTGTTGAACTATAAAATGGGAAGATCATATGAGATCATGGGAGTAAACTAGCCAACTACAATCCAAATTTGGGTGTGTCTGAAAATGGGGCGTGTACCCCCCAAGATATGTAATTTTCTGAATTTGAATTCTGGTGAAAACATTGGAATTGGTGATGGGGATGTTCCGGATGCTTTTTGTTGGGAGGCTTTGGCTCAAAATCACATTCTTGTTATTGACCCCCTGCCCAAAAGGCTGAGATGACTAGTTAATTCTACTACAAGAATAGTGATCAGTGAGTCTATGTGTGGGCGAATTCTTATTTGGCCGATCAGGCGAATACCGTGGAATATGTGTTTTGGACCACAAGAGTTGGGGATGGACATCCATTTGCATCAAATCAGGTCCAAGAATTTTGAATATGGTCTGGTAATCAAACATGGCAATGGGCAATTAGAAATCCGCCATTTAGTTCAATTATTTTCCCATTCAAACTTCCATTTGCAGCGGATTTCCCATGATTTCCCGTTGCCACGTTTGACCAAAAAACCGCCGAAACCAACGCAGCACCACCGGAGACTTGGCTCAAATCCGCCCGCGACACTGCCGCGGTGTTGTGAAATGGCGCCACGGCGCACAGGGAGGCGTGGATGGATTGGGATGTCATTGATCAAGATCAATAAAGTAGATTACAGTAAAGTAGACGATAGATTTTGGTAGATCAGCATATAATATAGTGAGTGAAGGAAAGATGTATTTGGATAGATATACCTCTTCTTATGTATGTGCATATCTTCAGGTCTTGGATACTACAGATGCTGGTTTGAGGCATATCTGCAGCACTGGCAGGTGCAAGTATGTGATTGGCTTGACCGCGGCATTACTTTTTCGGCAGCAGTGTCATGAGGCGGGGAACTTGAGGGAGCGTGTCAGATGTCAGATGGTGGATTATACTGGACGAATATCTAAGCCGGTGACAGTTTCTTTCTCTATATTTTGGCAGGTGAAGGTTGAGGGTGTGTTTGAAAATATGGCATGCTCCCCAAATGGCAATATTCAATCTGAATCGGCAAAATGATGATCAACCATGGGATATTGGATGATATTGGGAGAGAAACCCAGCTGGGGACCCAGCCTGGTGGACTCGGCTGAAACTTGCAGGCCTTTGCAGGTCTCAGGGTAGCTAGCAGCCCCAGCCGGCCCGGCATGATTTGACGTGAGATGTTGATGGGGAAACGATCGTGTGCTCACTTGTGTCCCTTTTCGGGGCGGCCAACTTTATCAGGCGTCGCAAAGCCGTGGAAGCCAAACATCGAATAAGCCTCAACCTGTGTTGGCGAACAAGTGCCGCAAGGCCTAAAAGTTTAGGTTTTGTTTTTGTTTAGTTTAGGGTTGTTTTGGGTTTGTTTAGGACTGGTTTAGGGTTTATTAAGGGTTGGTTTAGGGTTTGTTTAGGGGTTATTTAGGGTTTGTCTAGAGTTGGTTTAGGGTTTGTCTAGAGTTGGTTTAGGGTTTGTCTAGAGTTGGTTTAGGGTTTGTTTAGGTTTTGGTAGAGGTTTGTTTAGGGTTGATTTAGGGTTCGTTTAGGGTTTATTAAAGGTTTGTTTAGGATTTGATTAGGGCTGGTTTAGGGTTTGTTTGTGGTTCGGTTAGGGTTTGATTAGGGTTGGTTTAGGGTTTGTTTAGGCTAGGTTTAGTGCATGTTTCGTGTTTATTTAGGGTTTCTTTCGGGGTTGTTCAAAAAGCTTTAGGATTTATTTATATAGGGTTGTTTTTTTTTGTTTGTTTATTTAGGTTTCTTTAAAGGTTTGTTTAGGCTTCACTTAGGGTTCATTTCGGGGTTGTTTAGGGTTTATATTTAGGGTTTGTCCAAGATTCCTTTCCTTGATCGTTTATTTAATGTTTTTTCTCGCCGCCCTCCCCCCCTTCCCCCAAGAAAAAACAGGCAAACAGGTATTTGGGCTTGGATTTTGTTCGTTTCCTGTGGATGACACTGGGATATGCACGTATCTTTGTTTGTCCTTTGGATTCCCTTTCAGCATTCTATACATGGCATGACGCCCATGCTCGACCCTATTCTACAGACAGACGATGTTACGCGCAGCAGCCTTTACACAGAGCAGCTTTTATCCGCACATGCTCTTACACAGAAAGGTTTGTGCACAGAGAAGCTTTTACACACAGATGCCTTCACACACACAGATGCATTTACGCAAAGAGGCTTTTACACACAGAAGCGGGCTCTTCGGCTGAACCTGCACTGTTGCTGTTTGAACTCCTATCCGTCTATTTGCTTCTTCTTCCTGATCACCTACCTTTCGTGTACCCCCTTCCAAGTTTAAATTAAGATCAGCATCAGACATAGCAGATGGAAAGAGAGAGAGAGAGAGAGAGAGACATGGTAGAATTGGCCTTGTCCAAGCTATTTAAAGCACTTTTAAAGCGATTGAAATATATTGAAATCATTAAGGTCTCCGAGCCAGGCCGGGTCACGCGCTCCGCCCTCGAGGAGGGCGAGCTCCCAACGGGAGATGAGCTCCTGGAGGCGGGGGCCTTTTACCTTTTTCCCCACATCTTTGTGTGGGGTTCTTGTTTTTGGTTGTGCACTTCCGCCTCTCCGCTCCCGCTCCCGCCCGCTCCCGCCGCCTCCTTACTCATTACTCGCACACAACTTACAACTTGT